CACCGTTCTTTATGACTTGGAAGCTGGCAGCGCCCTCCTCACATTGGAGTCCCGAGGGAGCAGTGGTGAGCAGGCAGGCCAGTGGGACGAGGGTTTGAACGCCCATAGGACCCCAGTTCCTCCTGTAGCTCTGGGGCCCTAGCCGTCAGTGAGATCAGAACGTTGCCCGTGGGCCCTCAGGGGCCACAAGCAGGAAGGAAGCAAGGCTCAGTGGCGGCCAGCCAGCCTGACACAGTGGGCTGGGCAGTGTGTTCCCAATTGCAGAAGTGGCCTGCCCCTCCTCCGCTGTCCCAGTCCTGTTCCCTCCTCAGTCCCTCCCTCTCCCCACTTTCCTCGCAGGCCCAACACAGATCAACCAGGTGGTGAGTCACCCCAGTCAGCCCGTCACCATCACTGCGCACGACGATAGGGGCATCCGGTTCCTGGACAACCGCACAGGTGAGGCCCGGCCTCCTCCCTCACCGCGTTCTGGGGATCGGGAGGGGACGGTCAGACCGCCACATCCTCACCTTCCCCGACACGGCCTGTAGAGGGGGCCACTGCCAGCCACTCTCTGTCCCTCCCTCAGGTAAATCCGTGCACTCCATGGTTGCCCACCTGGACGCAGTCACCTGCCTAGCCGTGGACCCCAATGGCGTGTTCTTGATGTCAGGAAGTAAGTTGGGCCCCTCTTGCTGCCCCTTCCCCAGGAGGGTTGGAGGCAAAGAGAAGGGGCTGCAGCCGTGGCAGGCAGCTCCACCCTTGAACGTGCTAGAAGTCCTGCCTCATTCTCATCGGCTGTCCGTGGTATCCCTCCCTGCCTAGGGATTTGTCCTTGTGTTACAGGTGTGAGGTGATGGACCAGATCCCCTCAAGTTTGAGCACGTGGTCCCTCTCTGCTCTCAGATACAGGCTCAGTAGCTGTCTACTCTAGAATGGGGAGACAGGTCCCTCAGACAGTGTCAGGTGCAGTGAGTGTGTGCAGATGTGTTTGCAGATGTGCACGCGGTGGTGGAGGCTGTAAGCAGATCCCAGCTCGCTCTGCCTGATGTTGCCATGTGCTGACTGAGCAGCTACACCCCAGGCCTCCTGTTCCCTGCCCAGTGGCCTCAGACCCAGCCCTGATACGGACAAGCTTCAGATCTGAGGCCCTGCTTTCTGGGCTGAGTCCCTGGAGCTGGGCTAACTTGAGGAGCGGAGCTTCAGGCTAGTCACGCTTTCTCACGCCCAGGCGCTCTGCTGGCTCCACTTCCACCCTCAATTCCCTGCAGTTCTCAGCCCTCGCTGGCTGCTTGCCCCAGCCCCTCCTTGGCCATCCCTCTACCTGGAAGGCCCCCTCCCCCAGCCATGTCTTTCCGCCTGTCACCTAGAGATAGTGTCTGCTGTTCTCTTTCTTCCCTGCTGTGCTGGGGATGGAACCCAGGGCCTTGGGCTGGCCAGGCCCGTTCACAGCCCCCGAGCCACAGCGTACCACTGTGAGCTGTTGGTGCTCAGTCACCCTGCGGTCCGAGAGCTGCCTGTCGGTGTGCAGCGGTCCTCCAGCGGTCCTCCATATGTGTGCTTGGCGGATAGCAGAGTGGTTGACAGGATGGGGACAGAAGGGCTGCCCTTCGGGCAGAGCCATGGGAGGAAGGAAGAGGGCTAAGCTGCCTCCCTCTCAAGGCCTTTCCATGAGGCCAGGTGAAGGATTCAAAACCCAGGTCTGAGCTGAAGCTTGGTAACAGACGCTTCTGCTCCACACCTGTGCAGGTCACGACTGCTCTCTGCGCTTATGGAGCCTCGACAACAAGACATGTGTGCAGGAGATCACCGCCCACCGCAAGAAGCATGAGGAGGCCATCCATGCAGTGGCCTGCCATCCCAGCAAGGCCCTTATCGCCAGTGCTGGTGCTGACGCCCTAGCCAAGGTCTTCGTATGATCCCTCCTGGCCTCGCCCTGGCTACACAGTGGCAGGGAGCGGGGCCAGGCCGGTGGGGCTGAGGTAAGGACCAGAGGCCGTTTGTATTCTAGGTAGGAATGCAGAAACCCAGTGTCCTTGCCCCAGAAGACACCCCCCTCCTCTGTGACCCACTGCCTTTCAGTTTGAGTTGGGTTAAAGCCCACAGTCCTATGAGAGTGAGGCTTCTCTGAGAAGACGGGAGGGATTGGGGCTAGAGTAGAACTCTATCCTAACCAGCTGCCTTCCCTCTGTCTCTGCAGGCAGCCCCCAGCCTCTCTTGAGAGGCTCAGAGTCTCGGCCTCTTTCATCTTCCTGGAGCCTGGTGGTGCTAATGGCCCTTTCCCCAGGAATTACCCCTTGAGGATGGCCTCTGGGGTTTCTGCTCATGCCCCAGCCCTAATTCCTGATATAGCTGTCTCCTGAGTTTGGCACAGCCAGGGCTGGGTGTCCTTGGGGATCTGTTTTTTTCCAAGACAATAGAAGGTACCAGGCTCCACCCTAGAGTGCCACCCCTCCTTCACCCATCAGATGAAGGGCTGTGCTGAGAGAGAGGGGTCTCCTGTGGCCCTCTTGTGTGGGCCCCAGGCTGTCCTCTTGGACCTCAGTCCCTTCCTCCTGCTTCCAACACTAACCAAGCCTCTGGGGCCAGGCCTTCCTGGGGAGGGCCTCCACTCCTCTGGGGCGCTCTCCCAGCCACAGGCCCTCCTTGAGATGTAGAGGGTGGAGTGGGCCCCGGACCCCTAGCTCGCTGTCTATCTGTATAAATGAATGGGATTTTAACGGCGCCCACCCCACGTTATCACTGTGTGATAGTCCGTCAGTCTTGTCCCAGCTCCACACTTTTGCCTCTATTTATTTCACTCTTTATTTGGGTTCCACCTTGTGCCCTTGGTTCCCCCTTCAGGTTCCTGTTTATAAGCCCCGTCCCTTTTGCCCCCAACTTGTATGTGAAAAAACTGTCTCAATAAACCCTTTGGAGTAAGATAGGTTCCTCAGGCCATCTGTCAAGGGGATAGGGGACCTTGGGGGGGGGGGTCACTCCCTCTGCCTTGGCTGAGTGGAGTCTGAGGAGAAGGAGATGGATTGGGGTTCTGTGATGGAGTGGGGTGGGGGTGAAGCTGGGTGCCATGCCAGTGGAAGGGCGGGAGTGGAACACAGGACCACATCTCTTGAGCCCTCCTTTCTTTCACTAACCATGACTTTGGAGGGGGCAGTACACTGGTGAAGAAATGCTGTGCTGTGGCAATAAACAGTTTAGATGAAGACCCCTTGCCTGTTCAGGAGCTCAGAATAAGAACCAAAGCCCTTTCCTGCCCCATACCCATTCCTGGACTGACAGAACAGGCAGGTTCTGTGGAGGACATGCAGGTACCTGGTCCGCATAGCAATGCAGAGGCCCTCCCCTTCCCCTCGGTTTAGTGTCAACCTGTAGGGTTAGGCCTTCGTCCTCGCCATCTTCATGGCCTCAGAAAGTGGAGTGGGGCTGGGAGTCCACACTACAGAGAAAGAGTGAGGTGACTCCAGCCAGCAGGCACAGCATGCCCCACACCCTCCACCTTCTAGCCCCTCAGAAGGGTCAAGGGGTAAAAAGGACTGTAAGTCCAAGTCCCGAGCCAGTGGTCCTACTGGGGACTGCCCGTCTAGGAGAAGGTGCAGGTGGGTATGTGATTTTTAGTGACACTCAAGCGACCAGACTGTGAGCTCCACGTGGCCTTGCCTCCCCCCATCCCTTCGGGCTCTCTGCAGCTTCCCCAGGTGGTAGTTTGGGTTTTCACTCCAGCCTCAGACTTCCTTCCCCAGCCCCTGCTCCCCGGATGTGGTGACAGCCAGCACTGTACCAACCTCAGCTGCCCCCAGCAGCACTGAACCATAAGGGGGGCTCTTGTGGACAAGTCGCCGCTCTGAAACTCCAGCTTCCTGGATGTGGAAACTAACTGGTAGCCTCTGCCTGATTATTAGTAGAAGTCAGAATTGCTCCTGATGGAGATGGGCTTGATTACACAGGCCTGGCTCATGGGCTCTCAGTAATGTTAACTTTTTAGATTTCCTGGCGTTGCACTATTTATTTCAGAGAAGGGTGGAGGTCAGGACAACCCAGAGGAGCTGGTTCTCCTTTGATTATTAGTCTCCAGGATTGAACTCAGGCCAGTGAGCCTGGTGGCAAGCGCCTTTACCCACTGAGCCACCTCACTAGCCAGGTGCTGGACGATTCACTTAAGAGGCCCAGCCAGAAGCCCCTGAGTGGCTTTGATGACTCCCTTCTCTCTGCAAAATTTAAGGGCAGCAACATCAGCTGGACTAGCTGTGTTCCAGGCACCTGTATTCCATCTCTGAAATACAGCCTCCTGACAGGGGAAGGAAGGCTCACAGTGGGGAAGCCCCTACCTCAAGCCACACAGCCGGAAAGATGTAGGCACCGGTCAAGTCTCATGAGAGGTCTATGAAGTGGTGTTGCCCTTTGGCATGCCGCCTTGGTTGGGGGTTCTCCGTGCCCCTTTCAACTCGCTGGAGACAGACATGAGGCTAAGCTCTCCAGTGCATCCTGAGGCCTCCACTTCCCCCCTGTGTACTGGTGTGTTGTTGAGCTGGGGACGTGGGGTGGGGGTATAGGACCAAGAGCCGGCAAGCCACCGGACTTGACACCGAATTCCGACCTTTTCCCTGGGGTTGGCGCCGGATGCGGGCCAGCCTGACAGCTCCCTCTTTGAACGACCAAGCGCCTGCCCCTCCCGTCCGCGGCGGCGGACTGCTGCGACAAGTCAACTTTCCAGACTGGAGCGAGCGGAGGAAGCGCTGGACCTTCCGCCCTCCTCCCACCCCAGCCACCAGATACCCCCCCAACCCCCCCACTCCACACCAACTCCCTAGTGCGGGGTCCCGCCTTCCCCTTCCGCCCCAGGCCCCTCGGTGAAGGCTCCGCCCCGTGACGTCACGGAGCCCCGTGCTGATTGGCCGGCTGCGCCGTCGTTCCCCAGACTTCCTTCTGGGCCGCTGCCGCCGACTTAAACTTTGAAGGGGGGAAAAAAGCCACCGCGCTGTGCGACCCTCCCTTGCCCCTCACCCGCCCCGCCTCCGGTAACGCTCCCTTCTTCGCCGCCCCTGACCCAACTTTTCTCCAACTTTCGCGACCTGTGAGAGTCTCTTCTTTCAGCCCTGGCCCTGGGGACCCCTCTCTCCCCATCCCTGAGCCAGCCGGGTCCCTATGATCCACTAGGTCCCTGACCAAAGACTCCTGCTTTCTACCCACACGGCAGAGCATCCTCGGGCCGCTCTGCGTTCGAGCCTGCCGTCAAACCCACTGGATCCTGGGATCCCCCTGCTCCGCTTTCAACCTTCTTTCTCCCAGGGGCCTTGGATCGTGGGGGTCTTTTGATTCCAGGGACCCTGCCCGACCCGATTTTCTTTTCTGGTTTCTTGCAGTCTTCCGATCTCTGGGTACCCTCCAAACCACTACTTTTCTTTCTGATCTGTGCTCCCTTAACCCCGGGCGTTTGACCCACTAGATTCCTTTTCTCTTATTGCCCAGGGTCCCGCCATCCTCCAGTCCCTCAACCTGACAGATTTCTCTCTCAGATGCCTGCGTTTTTACCACCACCGCACGAGAGCGCTCGGATCTAGGTCCCAGGTTCCTCAGCGAGCTCAGGGCGGCAGGTCGAGCTCCGGGCGGCAGGTCGGGGTCTGGCCCCCATGGCCGCCGCCCCCTCCCATCCCGCCGGAGTCCCGGGTTCTCCGGTGCCCGGGTCTCCTCCGCCCCCCGGTGGCTTGGAGCTCCAGTCGCCGCCACCTCTGCTGCCTCAGATCCCGACCCCGGGCCCGGGGGTCTCCTTCCACATCCAGATCGGATTGACCCGGGAGTTCGTGCTGCTGCCGGCAGCCTCCGAGTTAGCTCATGTGAAGCAACTAGCCTGTTCTATCGTGGACCAAAAGGTGAGTGCATAGGGGCTCTCCTCATAAAGGAGAGGAGGCTTCAGAAGGGGCCTGGGGCTTGTTGGGAGGGGGAGAAAGGGGCCTGGGTGACTGAGCCGAGGAGGGGCACTACTCCCCGGTTGTGTCCTCACTCCACCACTGGTTTGAGAGAGGCCCAGGTAGGGGTGGGGTGCCCCAGAGGCCTCCCCAAATTGCGTGTCGCTGCTTGTTGTTGTTTTCTGCAGCGGGCAGGGAGGAAGGGAGGGGCCTTGCCAGGTGTGGAGTGGGGAGGAAGGCGCAAGTGGGAGCTGCAGATCAGGGGGACCCCTTCTGATGGTCCCGCCCTGGGCCTCCGTTCTTTGGAAACAGTAGAAACTGAAGCCATACTGGCCATGGTGATCGGGTGACATGTGTGGGTGTGGGTGTGTGGACAAGCTGCCAGGGGCAAGCAAGGTCTCGAGTACAACCTCTACCCTTTCCCAGGCCTAAGATGGGGTGTGAAGGAGCAAGGCACTCCTTGTGTATCCTCTCGGCACCCCCAGAAGCCCTGCAGACTTTACCTGCTCTCCTAATCACGGCTTCCGCATGCTCCTCTTAGCTTTAGATATCACGATCCCTCCCCTGAGTGTCAAGAGGGAACCAAGTAGGACGGGATGCCCAAATCCTAGGAACGTTAAAAGTTACAACCAGGCGGGACGGTGGTGGCGGCACACCCCTGTGATCCCGGGCACTCGGGAGGCAGAGACAGGTGGATCTCTGTGAGTTCAAGGCTAGCTTGGTCTACAGAGTGAGTTCCAGGACAGCCAGGGCTACACAAAGAAATCCTGTCTCAGAAAACAACCAGCAGTTATGACCAGGCTGGTAGAGCACTTGCCTAGCAAGCAAAAGCCCTGGGTTCCATTCCCACCCCAACCCCCATCCCAGGGTGGTGGTGGTGCTTGTGTGTAGTTCAAGTGCCTGATTGTGAAAATGGAGAACTCTGGAGTCCTAAGAAGTTAGATAGTGAGATCTTTTCATACTAAGGCATTCAAGTATTAGAATCTTAAGTTTATAGTGTTGCTACATCGTAAGAATCCTAGATGACACTGATAATAACAGGACAGTTACAGCTGGAACCCAGAATGTATAATTCTAGAGTGAGAGCACATTGGAATCCAAAAACATCCGGATTTAGGCTTTTCTCAGGCTCTTGGAACTGGATCCTTTGGGCTTCGGGGAAGCAGAAGGAACAGGGCCACCTCCTCCATTTTTTCCAGCCGGTGGAACTAGTTTAGAGAAAGACCTCCCGGGCCTGGTACTTTTGTAATCCCAGCACTGAGAAGGAGCATCGCGAGCTTTAAGTCAGGCTAGGGCATTTCCAGACTCTGTCTCAAGGGGAAAAAAAGAAAAGAGAAATAAACAAACTAGATTAAGTCACCATGAGGGGCAAGGCAGTACTGGCTTTCTGTAGAAGATTGGGGTGCAGGGGGAGCTGTGCCCACCAACTCCCCAAAGTCCAGCTCAGCTGGCATTCTTAAATCAGCCGGCTTAATGGGAAGCAGGGCTCGGGCTCCTGTACATTGTGCCTGGAGTGAAATTCTTGGTACCAGAGTTCAGATTCCCAGCCTCCCCTCCTCAGGCCCAGCCTAGTTTGTTTTCTGCTCTTCCCGGGGTACAGGTGCTGTTTAGGGCCCCTTCCTGCCTGCCTTCCGTCCCGGTGCCCCACCTGGGCGGTTTCACTTTCTGTTTTACAGGGTTTCATTTCCTGCCCCTTCCCAAGCTGGGACCCGGACACCTGGGTTTTGGAGCATTGGATGAGGGGAGGCCTTCTTACCTCTACTATCTTGAGCACCCCCCCAAAAAAAACTCCTAGCCCCCCCCTTTCTAGTTCATTCTGCTCCAATACTGGGCTAAGAGCCAGGTAACAGGGACAATGGATTCAGGAAGGAAGCTGGGGTGGAGATGTGGCCGAAAGAGGGGGTGATCACTCAGTGTCCCGCCAGCTCTGGAAAATTCAAAGTGTCTATTCTGCTCCTGGAGCCTTTAAACCGCCCCCCCCCCCCAGCTTTGGCCCTCAGCCCTCCCCTTGCCAGTCGCGCCCCCAGACTGGCCAGTGCTCCAATCCAGCACACCTGGGGCCCCAGCATCCTGCTGGCTCGAGCTGGGGTTGGGAGGGGCCAGGCAGGAAGCGGTGGGCTGTAGGGTCTCGGTTTCCGGGGGAAACAGCCAGTTCTGCCCCTAGAGGGTTCAAGTAGGCTGCCGCCGCCGTGGCAGGCAGCTCTGAGCTTTTCTGTCGCCACCCCCCTCCCTCCCTGCCCCTCAGTTCCCGGAGTGTGGCTTCTACAGCCTGTACGACAAGATCCTGCTCTTCAAACATGACCCCACATCGGCCAACCTCCTGCAGCTGGTGCGATCAGCTGCAGATATCCAGGAGGGCGACCTGGTGGAGGTGGTTCTGTCGGGTGAGAAGCGGCGGTCACCCTGGGGGCGGGGCCTCGGGCACGGGGCCAGGCCTCTGGGAGAGGTGGCTGAGGGTGGGCATGGTGGGGCTCACCTGTAATCCCAGCGTTCCCGAGGCCCAGACAAGAGAAGTGCTGTATGTGTAAGGCCAGCTCGGGCTAAAGAGTGAGACATTTGGGCTGGACAGTTGGTTCAGTGGTTAAGAACACTTGTTGTTCTTTCAGAGCACTGGGGTTCGAGTCTCAGCATTCACACAGGAGCTCACAAACTGTAAAACCCTAGTCCCAAGGGATCTGAGGCCCTCTTCTGACCTCCACAGGCACAAATGCTGACAAAACACCATACACATAAAAACCCGTGAAGTCAACAATCTTAAAAAGTTGGGATGGAACTCATCAAGAGATGTGCCCCTTTAGAAGTCTTGGGGAAACCAATTAGCTTAGTTTATGTTTATTTATTTGAGATAAGGTCTTACTATGTAGCCCTGGGTGGCCAGGAACTCAAAGAGCTCCTCCTGCCTCTAACTCTGGAATACTGAGAATAAAGATGTGTACCGTTGGACCTAGATAGTTAGCCCCCTCTCTTTGTGATACTGGGGATTGAACCTAGCACCTTGCACATGCAAGACAAGGTCTGTACTAGTGAGCCATACCTTCAGCCCACCAAAGCTGTTTTACCTTTAGTGTGTGTGTGTGTGTGTGTGTGTGTGTGTGTGTGTGTGTGTGTGTGGAGAGCTTCTGGGATTTGGGGTGTGTGTGTGTGTGTGTGTGTAAAGGAGAGCTTCTGGGATTTGGGGTGTGTGTGTGTGTGTGTGTGTGTGTGTGTGTGTCTGTGTGTACAGGACAACTTCTGGGAATTGATATACCAAATGGACTCATGGATCGGGACTTAGATCATCAGTGTTGGCAGCAAGCACCTTTTTATTGCTGAGCTGTCTCGCTGGCTCCAGGACTATTTTGTTCTATTTATTTATTTGGGTTTTTTTTTTTTTTTTTCGAGACAGGGTCTCACTATGTAGCTCTGGCTGTTCTGGAACTCACTATGTGAGACCAGGCATCTACCCTCTTGTTCAAGTGTATGTGCCTCCTCCTTGCCCACAGCCTCGGCCACCTTCGAGGACTTCCAGATCCGCCCACATGCTCTCACTGTGCACTCGTACCGTGCTCCCGCCTTCTGCGACCACTGTGGGGAGATGCTCTTCGGTCTTGTGCGCCAGGGCCTCAAGTGCGATGGTGAGGGGCTAAGGGACTGGGCGGAACCCGGGAGGGTGGGAAGGCTGCGCCTGGGACTGGGCTCAGGTCAAGGGGTGGAGCTTAGAAGATGGACGAGGTAAGCGCTGAGAGAGAACTTGGGGGAGGGTGGGATTCAAGTCTGTGGGCGGAGCCCAGGGGGTGGGGCTAGCGGGCTAGGTTAGGGCTCTTGGGCTAAGTTTGTGGACTAGTGAGAGGCCCCGGGCTCCTGGCTCTGGAATGGGTACAGGGCCTAGGAGGCGATCCTTGGTAACTGAAGTTAAGGGTTCCTGGACAGAGCAGGGGAGGGGTCTGGTTCAGGTCTGGAGATGGGGAGGGCATAGGAAGATGGGGCTCCCAGAGTAAGCATTTAGGGAATTTTTTTTTAATTTATTATTTATTTGTATGTTATATGCACGGGTGTTTTGCCTGACTACATGTCTGTTGCATCACGTGCATGGGCTTTAGGAACTGAACCTGGGTCCCCTACAAGAGTGACAAGTACTCTAGCCACTGCTGAGATCTCGAGGTGAGGTGATGGAAGAGCCAGCCCGTGTCAGCCAGGGACCAGGCAAAGAAAGGGAACAGAAGGAGAGAAATAGTAACTATTTATCTGGAAGAATTGGCCCGTAGGACTTCGAGGCCACACTCCTCAGGGCAGCCTGTCTGGGATCACAGGCTGAATTCTACAGGCTGGGGATCCTTATAGCTCTTCGCAGCTTTGGGTCTAGTGAAAATCAGGGGCGTTCATCAACCAGGCTAGAGTCCACAGGATGTGGACTTGAATCCAGTACACAAACTACCTTCAGCTGCAGCACTGAGTCTTGGGGTGCCCCATCCACTTTTGCTGTGGGGGGCAGGACAGTACACGTGTGTGCTTGAAGCACAGGGTGATTTCTTAAGATGGGGGGGGCCATGCCTAGTAGTGAATGCAGGTTTTGGCTCTGATGGTCTTGCGCCCCCTACAGGCTGCGGGCTGAATTACCACAAACGCTGTGCCTTCAGCATCCCGAACAACTGCAGTGGTGCTCGCAAGCGCCGCCTGTCATCCACGTCCCTGGCCAGTGGTCACTCTGTGCGCCTAGGCAGCTCCGAGTCCCTACCCTGCACCGCTGAGGAGCTGGTGAGGGGCTGGAGAGTGGGGAGGGTTCGAGGCTGGGGGCTGATGGGGCCAGGCAGGTGCTCATGCTCTCATCCGTTCCTTCCACCCTCGCTGTTGGGTAGAGCCGTAGCACCACCGACCTCCTTCCTCGCAGACCACCCTCGTCGGCGTCCTCCTCCTCTTCCTCTTCCTTCTACACAGGCCGTCCCATTGAGCTGGACAAGATGCTGATGTCCAAGGTTAAGGTGCCACACACCTTCCTTATACACAGCTACACACGGCCCACCGTCTGCCAGGCCTGCAAGAAGCTGCTCAAGGGTCTATTCCGCCAGGGCCTGCAGTGCAAAGGTCAGTGGGACCAGCTGAGAAGACTGTGGGTCTGAAAATCCCGCCCAGAGGAGCACAGGATCCCATATCCATGTCCCGAATCCGGGTCATCCTAGAAGTCACTGGAGTTCTGGAACCCTAAATCCTTGGAAATCTAGATTCCTAGAGCAGAATAGAATCCTCACTATAAAACCCAACAATCTGAGAGTCAGGGAACCTTAGAACCAGAAGATTCAAGACTTCTGGAGCTGGGCATGGTGGCACACGCCTTTAATCCCAGCACTCGGGAGGCAGGTGGATCTCTGTGAGGCCAGCCTGGTCTACAAAGTGAGTTCTAAGACAGCCAGGGCTACACAGAGAAACCCTGTCTTGCAAAACCAAATATATATACAGATAAATATTCAAGACTTCTGGAATTACACACCTGTAATCCCACCCAGCACTTGAGATGTTGAGGCAGGAGGGTCAGGAGTTTAAGACTGGCCTCGGCTGCAAAGTTTGAGGCCAACCTGAACTACATGAAATGTTACGAGAAGGCTTGAGATGTCGCTCACAGAGTAGAGTGCCCACCTAGCATACTAGAGGCCCCAGGTTCCATCCTCAGTACCCCACCTTTGAGGCAGACAGTAGCACATAAGCCTATAATCAGCCTGGGAGTTAAGTCACCTCCTGCCTTACCCAGTTCCTGGCCAACTAGGCTTCGGGAGATCTTCAAAACATCAATGAAATTATCTGGAAGAAAGGAGAAATAAAAAGGCCCAGGCCATTGGGATGGCTCAATAGATTAAAGGGGCTTGCCGCCAAACCTCATGACCTGAGTTCAATCCCTGGGCCCCACGTGGTAGAAGGAGAGAGCCACCTCCCACAAGTTGTTCTCTGACCTCTACACGCACATTATGGCACTCATGTACACACCTGTGCGTGCATATATCCCTACCCCCACACACAATTAACTAAATAAATCCATCTAATAAAAAAAAAAAAAAAAAGTTTGGGGCTGGAGAGTTGCCTCAGTGGTTAAGAGCACCGACTGCTCTTCCAGGCTCTTCCAGAGGTCCTGAGTTCAATTCCCAGCAACCACATGGTGGCTCAGAACCATCTGTAATGAGATCTGGAGCCCTCTTCTGGCCTGTAGGGACACATGCAGGCAGAATACTGTATGCATAATAAATTAATAAATCTTTAAAAAAAAAAAAAAAAAAAAAGTTTGTCCTAATGGCCCATGCCTATAAACCCAGCACTTGGGGGTTGGAGGCAAGAGGATCATGCTTGGCTACATGGCAGGTTCTGGGCCAGTCTGAACTACCAACAGACCTTAGCTCAAATAGATAGATAGATAGATAGATAGATAGATAGATAGATAGATAGATAGATATAGATAGATGGATAGATGGATATATAGATAGATAGATAAATGAGTCTATACTTGTGGCTCTTACCTATGGAGCTATCGCCTCAATCTTTATAGTGTAATCCTAGCGCTATTGATGCTGAGGCAGGAGGATTGCCAGGAATTAGGTGCTAGCCTGCCTAGGCTACATAGTGAGACCTTGTGGTGCACACACAGTAACTCTCTCCTTTCCCGCCCGTCCCTTTGTCCCCTCAGACTGCAAGTTCAACTGTCACAAACGATGTGCTACCCGCGTCCCTAACGACTGCCTGGGGGAGGCACTCATCAATGGAGGTAAGACTCTCAGCATCTAGGAGGGACAGGGTGGGACTGCATGGAGGCCCTTCTGATGCCCCTGTCCCCAACAGACGTGCCGATGGAGGAGGCCACCGATTACAGTGAGGCCGACAAGAGCTCCCTCTCAGACGATTTGGATGACTCTGGTGTCATCCCAGGCTCCCACTCAGAGAATGCTCTCCATGCCAGCGAGGAAGAGGAAGGCGAGGGAGGCAAGGCCCAGAGGTACCCAGGGCCCCTTCAGGAGGCTCCCTCCCTTCCAGCCCCCCACAAGCCTCTGCTTTCCTGTCTCTAAGATGGCTGATGTTAGTGTATGATTGAGTCCCGCCATATCTTTGGGTTCTCTCTATTGCTTCTTTTCTTTTTAAAAAACATTTAATTTTTTTTTTGGGGGGGGGATGTTCAAGACAGGGTTTCTCTGTGCAGCCCTGGCTGTCCTAGAACTCACTCTGTAGACCAGGCTGGCCTTGAACTCAGAGATCTGCCTGCCTCTGCCTCCTGAGTGCCGGGATTACAGGGTTTTGCCGCCACTGCCCGGCTTCTTCCTTGATCATTTAAAAGATTTTGTCTTTGCTTTCTTTCTTTTTAAAGCTCAAGGGCAATTTATTAGTGTTTGAAAGAAAAACAGCAAACTGTCCATCTCAGCCAGTAGTTCCCTGCTTGGTTAGGTAGAAAAGAGAGCGAGCCATGCCTCTTTGAGCTGGGGTCCAGGAAAGGTGGCGTGTTCAGCAGTAGAGGTGAACATGCAACTGTGTGGCCAGAGGGGAGGCAGGCCTTCAGAGCTTCCAAGTCAGGGTCGAGATGCCAGGTCGCAATCACTGGAGGTCGTCTGTACTCCAGGCTCTGTGCCCAGCTCCTTGGAAAGCTGGAGACTGAGGCACAGAGCGGTTAGGTACTTGCTAGACAGCCTGCTTTTGTAATATTGTAGTAGTGAGGCCAGGACCCAGGGCCTTTTGCATGGCAGACAGGTGCCTAACCTACAGCTAGCTTGAGAAGCTGGCCTTCTCAAGAGTCACCTTCCTGCCCGGGCTGGGGCTCAGTTAGGTACAGTGCTTGGCTAGTCAGCAGGAAGGCCTGGGTGACCCCTAGCACCGTGTAAACCATGTGTGGCAGGGAACACCTGCAGTCCAGGACTCAGAAGACGGGGGCAGGGGGACCAGTGCCAGCCCAGGATACATGAAATTCTCTTAGAAGGCCAAGCCAGGGGCTGGAGAGACGGCTCAGCGGCTAAGAACACTGGCTGCTCTTCCAGAGGGCCTGGGTACAGTTCCTAGCACCCCGTGGCCAACCACCTGAAACTGCTGTTTCGAGGGATCTGACACCCCCTTCTGGCTCTTTCAGGCACCATGCTGTGCAAGCAAAACACTCATACACATAACATAAAAGAATTTTTTTTTTTCCTGTGTAACCTTGGCTGTCCTGGAACTCGCTCTGTCGTCCAGGCAGGCCTTGAACTCCGAGGTTCACCTTCCAAGTACTGGGACTAATTAGCATGCACCACTATGCCAACTAAAACAGATAGATCTAAAAAGAAAATAATCATAGCCAGGTTAGCAAGATGGTTCCGTGGGTAAAGGTGTTTAATCCCTGTCGGCCACATGACTTCACAGAGTTGTCCTTTACCTCCTTCTCTTTCCAGTGATGGAACAGACAACCCCCCCCCCCCCCCCGACACACACACACAAAAAATAATAAGTGAAAAGAATCCTGGTTGGGGGCGGAGGCTGGAGAGTGGCTCCGTGGTTAAGAGCACTTGTTTCTCTTGCAGAGGACCTGGGTTCAGTTCCCAGCACCCACGTCAGGAGGCCGACAGTGACTGTAACTGTTGCTCCTGGGAATCTGACTTCCTCCTCTGCCTTAAGGCACACCCACAAGCATGGCATGCATTCACACAAACACTGAAAGTATTTTTTCTTAAGTTATAAAAGCAAGAGTCCCCTTGCTATGAAAATCTAAAAAATCAGTAGGGAAAGAAACAGCATTTTCACACGACCGTTCAAAGATGTCCCTGTGGCCCCAGGGAGGACATTATTTTTGCGTGTGACATGTAACATCTGGCCCATTCCTCTGCAGCTCGCTGGGATATATCCCCCTGATGCGGGTGGTACAGTCTGTGAGACACACGACCCGGAAATCGAGCACCACCCTGCGGGAGGGCTGGGTGGTCCATTACAGCAACAAGGACACGCTGGTGAGTTGGGGGTGGGATGGGGGTGGGGACAAGTGGGCGTGGCTAAATTTCTGGGTGGGCTGGAAGAACTTGAGTTGACAGGGATCCCGAAGCTTGTATGGGCAGAATCTCCCACCTTATGGTCAGAATTATGGATAGGTGTCTGAGTGGGCGTGGTCAGAATTACGGATGGGTGTCTGGGTGGGCGTGGTCAGAATTATGGGCGGGCCAGGAAAGTAGGTGAGGCTAGTTGGGTATGACTAGATTTATAGGTTTGTTGAAAAAGCTTGAGCGGATGGCATACTCGGTGGCCAGATGGGTGGGGTCTCTAGGTGGGCGGAGTTAGAGAGGGGAGGGCTGGGAAAGTCCAGGTTAAGTTGGGTCTAGGAGCCGGGGTTCTGCAGGCAGTGCTAGAATCGAGGGTATGTTAGAGGAAGGAGGCTGGGCAGGATGTGCAGCAGGATGGGTGAGGCTGAGCAGAACCACAGTCCCAGCTAGGGGAGGAGCTAGGCTGGGCATTGCGCTTGCAAACCACCTGGCTGTCAACCTCACCCTGCCCCTGACTTTCCCGCAGAGGAAGCGGCACTATTGGCGCCTAGACTGCAAATGTATCACCCTCTTCCAGAACAACACGACCAACAGATATTACAAGGTGGGCCTACGTCCTCCCTCTCCTCCTGCTCCTCCTCCAGTGGTCACCCGGAACCCTTACAACTCCCACAATCCCCCACCCGCGGTCTCCTTGCTTCTAGTTGTGAGGCCAGGGCTGCCCACCAGCCTCGTTCGGTCCAGCTGGGGAGCAGGGCGGCAGGTTCATTAGCCTCTGAGGCCTCCTGTATCTCACCTGTAAAGAGTCTCAGATACAGCCGGGCGGTGGTGGCGCACGCCTTTAATCCCAGCACTCGGGAGGCAGAGCCAGGCGGATCTCTGTGAGTTCGAGGCCAGCCTGGACTACCAAGTGAGTTCCAGGAAAGGAGCAAAGCTACACAGAGAAACCCTGTCTCGAAAAACCAAAAAAAAAAAAAAAAAAAAGAGTCTCAGATACTACTTCTGCCCCCGGGCCAGTGTGAGAATTGAAAAATAATCTGTGGAAAGTGATGAGTTTGGGGCCTGGCTTGTACAGGACCCCTGATGTTGTAGCTGGCCTGGCCTGGCACTTAGAGATCTGCCTGCCTCTGTCTCTGGGGTTAAAGGCATGTTCCACCATGCCCAACAAGCCTGTGAGTACTTTAACGTTCACGGATGGCCCCCAGTTTGCCTTCTCCGCAGCTCCCCTGTGAGGCCCTGGGCTACTGTCACGGCTTCTGCACGGTTCTTCACAGTAGTCTCTGGGTGTGACTTTGCTTCTCTGTAGCTGGGGGGGCGGGAGGGAGGGGTCTTTCCTAAAACCTTCAGAGGCAGACATGATGATGAGTCTGTGATCACAGCATTCTCGGGGGTAGAGTTCCAGGCCAGCCTGGGCTACATGAGGCCCTGTCTCAAAAGTAAAATACACACATACATAAAGTCACCAGTGTTCCGGTGACTCCATTGATCTTGGAATGAAGATCAGGTTCCCCAGGCCTCCGCCATGTCTTCCTTGACAGGCCCAGGCCTGCGTCTTTCTTACCTTTTCTTGTCTCTAGCTCACCACATAGCTTGTTGCGTAAGTCACGTTTTTTTTTTTTTTTTTTCTCTTTTGGTTTTTCCAGACAAGGTTACTCTGTGTAGTCTTGGCTGTCCTAGAACTCGTTCTATAGACCAGGCTGGCCTCAAACTCATAGAGATTCATCTGCCTCTGCCTCCTGAGTGCTGGGATCAAAGCTGTGTGCCACCACCAATTATAAGTCACTTTTTCAAAGCCAGGGTCCAACTTAGGCCTGGTAAGCACTCTACCACTGAGTCACGCCCCCAGCTCCTCACTGGGTGATTCTAGGCAGGGACTCTACCACTGAGCCACACCCCAGCCCCTCACTGGAGGATTCTAGGCAGGGGCTCTACCACTGAGCCACACCCCAGTCCCTCACTGGGGGATTCTAGGCAGGGGCTCTACCACTGAGCCACACCCCCAGCCCCTCACTAGGGGATTCTAGGCAGGGGCTCTACCACTGAGCCACACCCCAGCCCCTCACTAGGGGATTCTAGGCAGGGGCTCTACCACTGAGCCACACCCCCAGCCCCTCACTAGGAGATTCTAGGCAGGGGCTCTACCACTGAGCCACACCCCCAGCCCCTCACTGGGGGATTCTAGGCAGGGGCTCTACCACTGAGCCACACCCCCAGCCTCTCACTGGGGGATTCTAGGCAGGGACTCTACCACTGAGCCACACTCCAGCCCCTCACTGGGGGATTCTAGGCAGGGACTCTACCACTGAGCCACGCCCCCAGCCTTCTTTCTACTTTTTGTTTTTGAAGCAGGGTCTCACCAAGCTGCTTAGGTTGGCCTTGAACTTGTGTTCCTCCTGCCGCGACCTTCCCTGTGACTGGGATTACAGACTTGCACCACTGAACCTGGCTGTCACTCAGGTTCCCTCTCCTCTTTTCCTCCCGGTCTTCCTTTCTTGGTGCTGTGCCTGCACCACAGTTCCTGCGCTTGCTCTCCACAGCCTCCCTCTTTTCTACTGTTCTGATCTCCTTTTGTCCCATGGACTTCCCGCACATGGCCATAAACGGCACTTCCTTGCTCCAGACCTTTCTGTGGCTCTCTAGGGCCCTTAGACAAGATCCAGTCTTCTCTGTATGGCCCCTGGTGTCCCTGTGGAGCCTCATGTCCTTCATTTTCAAACACTTATCAAGTGCCTACAGTGTGCCAGGTACTGTCCCATGTGATGGGCACAGCAAGCTTTCCTCGGGGCCTTTGCACGTTCTGCGCCCTGTCCTCTGCCAACTGCCTGTCCTTATGGCTAATATGGGGACTGCTGGGAGACCTTTCCTGACCTCCGTGTAGACCAGGCCTATCATCCTTACTGACTGTGGCTTTTATGTGGCCCTCTGAGAGCAAAGGAGCTGCAGGGATGGCCCACCAGGCTTGCCTGTGCTGACAGTCCCATCCCTTGCCAGGAAATCCCACTGTCTGAAATCCTTGCCGTGGAGTCGGCTCAGAACTTCAGCCTCGTACCTCCGGGCACCAACCCACACTGCTTCGAGATCATCACGGCCAACGTCACCTACTTTGTGGGCGAGACACCCGGCGGGGCCCCAGGAGGGCCGAGTGGGCAGGGGACAGAGGCGGTTCGGGGTTGGGAGACAGCCATCCGCCAAGCACTGATGCCCGTCATTCTCCAAGATGCACCCAGTGCCCCAGGCCACACACCGCACAGTAAGTCCCCGCCCAGGGCGCTGTGAGATGGCACTAGAAAGGCTCGTAGGTATCCCGGGGAAAGGAATGAGCCTGGAGGAAGGCTGGGGGGCTTGGGCCTGGGTTTGTGTCTCTGTGAAACCCTTACCCGACCTTGGGGGTGTCGCCTCTGAGACCAGCCATGGGAGTTTTCCAAGTCCGTCTTCTGTACCAGTCAGTAGGGCAGGACTGAGATGAGGAAGCTGGGAAGCCGGGGGGCACTTTACCCGAGAAAGCACATCTCTGGCACAGTGTGGACCAAAGAGAGGAGGCAGGAGCGAGCCTTCTGCACATGAGCGCCAGAGGGAGGCCAGTATGTCAGGAACACACAGCCTGGAGCGGGTCAAAGGCACGGATAGATGATGCCTACATCAGCCTGTGTGTCTGTCACAGAGGGCCCGAGTTTCCCCCTGAGGGTATGGAAGAGCTGTGGCAGAGCCGAGTGCAGGGGAGGGACAAGGTCCCTCTGGCTTTGTTGAGTGGGGATTATATACAGAAAAGGACAGGATTGAGCCGGGCGTAGATAGCACCACACACTTACTATTCCAGCACTTCTGAGGTGGAGGCAGGAGGATTGCTATGAGTTTGAGATCAAGCAGTGATTTCAAAGCCAGACTGAGCTCTCCAGCAAGGTTCTGGCAAAGAAGAAAGAGTAGGAGTGGGAAGAAGAGGAAGAATGGAGAGAAAGGGGGCTGGAGAGATGGCCCAGTGGTTAAGGACTCCCTGGGTGAATCACAACCGCCTGTAACTCCAGGGGCTCCTGTGCCCTCTCTTGGCCTCTGTGGACAACTGTACTCATGTGTGAGTACATGCACACACAGACATACACACATACACCTACACAAACACACCTAAAAGTAAAAATAAAATCTTTTAAAAAGAGGAGAGGGAAAGGGGCAGGATTGGGATAAGGAGAACAGGGATGAGTCTGGGGTAAGTTGTAGGTAGGGGCTAGTGAACCGTAGTCTAGATGGGACTGTTGTGGGGTGGGAAGGGGAGATGAGGAAGAGAAGCGTTTGGGTGGCAGAAGGAACAGGACTTTGTAAATGCCTCAGTTGAGTTTGTAATGGGATGGGGTAAGTTCCAGGGAAGTTGCTGAACTCTGTTGCGACTGCCCCTCCCAGCCTCAGTTTCCTGCTCTGTTAACTGGGATCAGCACGCCTCCATTTCTCGGCACTGAGGACACTGGGTAAAAACGTAGGCGCGAGCCGGGCGGTGGTGGCGCACGCCTTTAATCCCAGCACTCGGGAGGCAGAGCCAGGCAGATCTCTGTGAGTTCGAGGCCAGCCTGGGCCACCAAGTGAGTCCCAGGAAAGGTGCAAAGCTACACAGAGAAACCCTGTCTCGAAAAACCAAAAAAAAAAAAAAAAAAACCAAAAAAAAAACGTAGGTGCGGGAATGCGAAGTCCCGTTTGGAGTCTCTCGGTACATCTGGTCTACCCTGCCGTGTGCGCATGCGCCCACCCCCCACCCCGTATTCCCAGTTTATAGATGAGGAAGTTAAGGTTCAGAGTGTAGCCTCGGGAGGTACAGGTCACAGCTGTGCTGAGCCTGGATCCCACTCGCTTGTCTCTTCCCTCCTAGGACGGGCTTCTCTGAGTATTTCTGTGTCCAACAGTCAGATCCAAGAGAACGTGGTAAGCCTCCTGCCACCGTGGGGCAATTTCCTTCTGTCTTCATTTCATTTTGGGTCATTATGACAAGCTACCCTGCTCACAGTGGCTTGCGGGGCTAGAGAGATGGCTCAGCAGTTAAGAGCACTCGTCCTGAAGAGGACTTGTGTTGGAATCCCAGCATCCACCTTGGGCGGGTCACAACCCTCCCGTGTAAACGCCAGCTCCAAAAGACCCCATGCCCTCTCCTGGCCTGCTCAGCTACCTGCAGTCCTGCACATACACATATTTAAAATAAATTGAAAAATAAAACAATTTTTATTCTACTAAAATTAAAAAGTAAACTGTTTATTTTGTTAAACTTTAAAATAAAACAAACCTAATTAAAAAATCAAATAAAAAAATTTTTAAAGCAGCTTAGGAGAGACGGGGTCTCTTTTGGCTCGGAATACAGCCAATCACTGCAGGCAGCTCAGTTGGGAGGGCCTGGAGGCAGCTGGCCACATCTGTAGTCAGGAGCAGAGTGGAATGCGTGTGTGCCTGCCTGCTGCTCATTCACTTCCTCCTCCTCTATACAGTCTAGGACCCAGAGCCAGGGAATGGTGCTGCTCACTGTTTGCCCAGGTCTTTCCACATCCATTACAAGACAACCCCCTGCCCCAGGCCAGCCTGGGCTGGACCCTCTTTCAGCCAACAAAACTATCATACCTGTTAGCTCTCCTCCGACCTCCGACCTCCGACCTCCGACCTCCTGGTCTCGTCTCCTTGACCCTCTTTCACCTCCAGTTTGTACCCATGACCGTGCTGTCTCTCCCTCACAGGACATCGCCACTGTCTACCAGATCTTCCCAGATGAGGTGCTAGGCTCCGGGCAGTTTGGAGTGGTCTATGGAGGTAAGGATGCCACAGGGCTGGCTCAGATGCTGCCCAGGGTCAGGTGGTGGCACGCCCTCCTCGCTGCCTGTCTCCTGTTTTGTTGGAGCTGGGAAGCTGGACCCCAGGTACAGAGATTTGCAGGCTCCTTTTCTCATCAGGGAAACCAGTGGACTTCTTGCCTGTTGTTCATAGGAGATGTCTTAGGTAGGGTTTCTATTGCTGTGACGAAACACCATGACCAAAAAGCAGGTTGGGGAGGGAAGGGTTTATTTGTCTGACCCTTCAGCATCTCTGTTCATCACTGAAGGAAGTCAGGACAGGAACTCAAACAGGGCAGGAGCCTGGAGGCAGGAGCTGATGCAGAGGCCCTGGAGGGGAGCTGTTTATTTGGTCAGCCCGCTTTTGAGGCTCCTCCCTCTGATGACTCTAGCTTGTGTCAAGTTGACACACAAAACTACACAGTACAGGAGATGTACATTCTGGCTTCTAATTGGTTATGAATATAGTTGTCCATGTTATCCTCCCCTCTACCCCCAGACAGGGTTTCTTTGTGTAGCCACTTTGTAGACCAGGTTGGCCTCAAACTCAGAGATCTGTCTGCCTCTGCCTCCTGAGTGCTGGGATTAGAGGCATGCGCCACCACATCTGGCTTTACATTGTCCTTCTTAAAGCTCTCACTGTACCTATAATTTGCAGTTCAGGGTAGTCTCAAGCTTGTGACCCTTTTGCCTCAGTCTTCCAAATGCTGAGATAACAGGATTGTACCACCATGCCTAGCTCGTTTATCTTTTTTCTTTCTTTTTCTGGGGGTGAAACCCAGGGCAGCCTGAATGCTAGGCAGATGCTCTACCACTGAACCACACTCCCAGCCCCTCATTGGGGGATTCTAGGCAGGGGCTCTACCACTGAGTCACACCTCCAGCCCCTCTGGGGGATTCTAGGCAGGGGCTCTACCACTGAGCCACACCTCCAGCCCCTCACTGGGGGATTCTAGGCAGAAGCTCTTACCACTGAGCCACACCCCCAGCCCCTCACTGGGGGATTCTAGGCAGGGGCTCTACCACTGAACCACGCCCCCAGCCCCTCACTGAGGGATTCTGGGCAGGGGCTCTACCACTGAGCCACACCCCCAGCCCCTCCCACTTTTACTCTCTAGCCCTGCCCTCCCATCCCTCATACTGAGAACTCCTCAGAGAAACCTTGAAGGCCTCTAACATCTTTGCTCAAGTCCATCTGGGTCCCCATAGAGGGACAGAAGGAACCGGGAGGTTCTGACCTCTGATCCTTTACCTTTCCTATGCCCTGCCCCCAGGAAAACACAGGAAGACTGGCAGAGATGTTGCAGTAAAGGTCATTGACAAACTGCGCTTTCCCACCAAGCAGGAGAGCCAGCTCAGGAATGAAGTGGCCATTCTCCAGGTGACCCGCAGGGACCGAGACCCGGCCATGCCCTTGCATGCAAAGAGCCCGCCCTTCCTGCTTACTGCTTTTAAGTATAACCTGAGCCACAGTCTAGGGATGGTCAAGTTAGGCTTCCTGGACGAAAAAATGTCCATGCTGGAACTGAGAAGTGTTCTGAGCAGAGAGGGACCAGGACCAGCCTGTGCAGGTGACGGGAAACCCTAGAGCGGTGGAAGAAATGAGGCCAGGGAGGAGGGCAGAAAGATACCAGCGGGCTTTCTTCTAAAGGTACCTAGGGAGCCAGAGGAAGATCTTGTGGGCTAGGGGATCAGCGGTAGAGCTCTTGCCTACCGTGCATGAGTACCAGAAGAAGGAAATGAATCAAATAGAAGCCAAAGCAGCAGAGCTTGCTGTCTTCCCAAGCTTCCTGCCATACCCTCCTGCCGCCCAGGCCTTCCCCTGAAGTTCACACGCCAAGACCTCTCGAAGCGCTTCCCACCTCTTGCCGTGCTGATCCTCAGTCCTGACCCCTCTTCCCCGTTTCCCCGGACAGAGTCTGCGGCACCCCGGGATCGTGAACCTCGAGTGCATGTTCGAGACCCCTGAGAAGGTGTTCGTGGTGATGGAGAAACTGCACGGGGACATGTTGGAGATGATCCTCTCCAGTGAGAAGGGCCGGCTTCCGGAGCGCCTCACCAAATTCCTCATCACGCAGGTGCGCTGCGGGCGGGCCCCGGGCGCCCCCTGGCGGAGGCCCGGAGAACAGGCTGGTGCCTTGGGCAGAGTTAAGAGAAAAAGATGGAAATCTAATTAATAGCAATAAGAGATAAGTTATGGAACGACCGAAGCGGGGTGTAGTGGCGCACGCCTTTAATCCTAGCACTTTGGGAGGCAGAGACAGGTAGATCTCTATGAGTTCAAGGCCAGCCTGGTCTACATAGTGAGTTTGAGGATAGCCAGAGCTACATTGTAAAACCCTATCTCAAAAAGAAAAAAAGAAAAGGAGAGAGAGAGAGAGAGAGAGAGAGAGAGAGAGAGAGAGAGAGAGAGAGAGAGAGAGAGAGAGAGAGAGAAAGAAAAGAAAACGACACTCAGGTCTCAGTAAACACCATAACATTATTGATCTCCCTGTGTCAGCCCTGCCCACTGTGGTGACAACACCCACCATCCAAGCAGAAGGCTATCTTGGTCACAACTGTGTCTCAAGTGCTCCCCAACCTGGGCCAAGCATGGAGCAGAATCTGGCAGAGCATTGGTGGAAGAACCTAGTGAAGGATTGAAAGATCGAAAGAGGAGGGGGAACAGCCAATTTGCCCCTTTCATAATAATAGCTCTTATTGACACTGTTTTAATAAGCTTCCCAAGTGCTGGGATTAAAGGTGTGCACCAGTACTCCTGGCTTCATTTTCTTTTTTGAGAAAGGATCTTGTGTAACCCAGGCTAGCCTGGAACTTGCTATGTAGATGAGGATGACCTTGAACTTCGGATCCTTGCGCCCCTATTCCCTGAGAGCCAAGATTATGGACCTGTACCACCATACCCAGTTTGTGCAGTGCTGGGACTCAAACCCAGGGCTTTGTGGGTTCCACAGAGAACAGAGCCACATCCCCTGACATTTATATATATATATATATATATATATGGACTCCTATTGTCCAGGCTGGCTTCTGACTTGCATCCAAAGATGGCCTTGAATTCCTGCTCCCCCGCCTTCACTTTGCAAGTGCTAGAAGCACGGGTGTGCTCTACCAGGTCCAGCTCCTCACTGGCCGCGTGGCCGGATCTGTGGGACAGTTTGAGTACACCTCTAGGCAGCCCACTCGTTAGCTCCGTTGGGAGAGTGCTTGCCTGCCTAGCGTGCACCCAGCCTTGAGCTGGGGCTTCAGGATAAACCGGGCATGGTGGCACAGACTGCTATGGGAGGCGGGTGGGGAGATCCAGAGTTCACGGCCATCCTTAGCTGTGTAGTGAATTCGAGGCCAGCCTGGGCTACCGAGAGCCTGTCTCAAGAAATAAAAAACAATGTTTATTGTTTGAAACTTTTTCCATCTTTTCCCACCAACCAAGTGGGAGGATGCGTGTTTTCACACTTCTTCCTAACGCTGGATAAAAATAATTGCCAGGCTCAGGAAATTTCATATTGGCTTTTGGCTTTTTGAGACAGGCCCTCATGTACTTGATGTTCGCCTCACTTGATTCTCCTCATTATCCGTCCTGCTGCTGGGGTCACAAGTGTGTGCCACACACTTGAGTTATTTTTTCTATGTGTTATGTCAAATTAGTACTTTTTTTAAAAAAAAAGTCATTTATTTATTTATTATCTTTATTTTAGTTTTTCGAGATGAGGTTTTTCTGTGTAACAGTCCTGGCTGTTCTGGAACTCACTCTGTAGACCAGGCTGGACTAGAACTCACAGAGATCCGCCTGCCACTGACTCCCGAGTGCTGGGATTAAAGATGTGTGCCACCACCGCCCGGCTCTTTCTTTCTTCTTCTTCTTTTTTTTTCCCCTTTGCTGCTGCTGCTGTTGCTGTTTGAGACATGTCTCCTATATCCTGGGCTGGCCTTGAACTTGCTGTGTGATCAGAGAGGACCTTGAATTCCTCCACCTCCCCAGTGCTAAGAATCCAAGCATGAGCTACCACATCCACCTTATGCAATACTGGGGTGGAACCCAGGGCTTTGTGCGTGCCAGCTAGGCTATCGCTTCACTCATGGCTTTTGTTCACCATGGAGTTTTTTGTTGTTGTTGTTGTTGTTTTTTGAGACAGGGTTTCTCTGTGTAGTTTTGGTGCCTGTCCTGGATCTCGCTCTGTAGACCAGGCTAGCCTTGAACTTGCAGAGATCCACCTGGCTCTGCCTCCCGAGTGCTGGGCCACCACCGCCTGGCCACCATGGAGTTTGAACCTTTGCCATGTTCAGCATTCCCTGGTGCGGTCCGAGTTCCAGTTCTCCCTGGAGCGGCCTCCCCTCTCTCTGCCTGAGACTCTCCTCACTCTGGAGCAGCTTTTCTGTT